ATAACCATTGTTTTTTTTGGAAATCATATTTACTGTGTGTTTGAGAAAAACTGATTTTATGATATTCTTGCTGCAAGCCCTTTCCACTGCTTGTTGATGTATGTGTGGGCGCATTTGTGGTTTGTAACGACAGCAGAAGGATTGGGTAAAAACTCTTTTGTCTTTGTGAGAAAAACATTAATAATAATCTTTTTTTCTTTTGGGTGCTCTTTTTTTTTTTTCTTATCACTGGGTAATTATTTAAATTGTTTTTTTTTTACTTTGGGGAAAGTATCAGTGAGTACACTGCCATTTATGCGGCTGAATATTTTCATGTGTTGTCAGCGTGTTTACACCTGCTGTTGGTATGGCTTGGTAGGCTATACTCTTTTTCTACCGTGTGTGTTAAATATGCGTCTACTTTTCTCCTTTTCCTCTTCTTTCTTGTTACCACAGATCCAGGCAACCCACAGTGACAATCATGACAACGATGTTCGTATCCTCTGTGTCGTTGTGCTGCTCCGCCTTGGTGGGGTCAGGCGGTGTCCCGGGCCGTCCCGGACTTGTCCGTGTGGCGGGGTTGGGCCCTCACCCCTGTATTTTTTTAGGGGGCGCCAGGCGTGCCATCTGGTTTTTGCCGTTGTGATTTGTGTTTTCTACATGTACTGGTGGTGGTTGCACTTTTGTTTGCGGCACCGCGCGTTGCGCTCTGGCTGTGGGCCTCTGCCTCCCATGGGGTGGGCTGGCCCAGGTGGAAGGGGATATGTTGAATCGTACCTTTCTTATACACATTGAGGGGATGACGTTTGGGGGAGTGGTTGACCGGAATTGTGCGATGCGGGTATGCTGTAAATGTTACTCCGGTTATGCGTTCGTGAAAACATTGTTCTTTGGTTTTGTTTGTTCTTGTGCCTGGTTGCGTGGACATTGTTCACGGCGTCGAGGTGAACTTCACGCCGGGTCTTGTACCCCAGGTTCGTGTGTTCATTCCGAATATTGTTGATGTACATCTTTTTTTTTCTCCCGCAAGTGTGTTTTCACATCCCAATGCAATGGTGGTTGTTGTTTCCAATCTCCGGCATTATGAAAGTGATGTGCGATATCAGGTGGTGCCGCCCGACGTTAACCTGCGGTTGCTCACCTAATGGTGTCCGTGATCTCGTGGTGTTTGGAGGTTTTATTTCCGACTGGGTCACTCGTGTATTTTTTGATATGCGCTGCGGATCCGGTACACACAAAGAGGAGTGGGAGACGGGCATGTGTAATGAACGTGTGCGCACAGTAGACACACATTCTTGTGTTGTGTTCATGAGCTAATGGGGGGGTGGTGACAACCGTCCGTGCAGTTCTTTGCAGTAAGGGGTGCCGATGTTGCGTGCGCCCGTGATCCAACTACAGGGAATTTGACGTGTGGATGTTGTGATGGCTGATGGGTTGCGGTGTTATATTTGACATTCATGTGGGAGTGCTCCTTGAGTACTGTTTCATGAGATGGGGTCCTGCGTTTGCTGGTATCTCCTCAGTGGCCTTATAACTGTTTTTCGGGGGATGCCGACCAGTCGAGCAATGAGGTTGCGCTATCAGTGGAAGATAGTCGGAGGCACGTTGTGTATTATTGCCGAGTGGAATAACTGGGATCTACAGGTAAACTCCCATGGTGCTGTTTTTCTTTTTATTGTTTTTGTGGATTTTTTTTTTCGTAATCGGGGGTGTTGTTTTGACATCCGTACGGAAATCCGGAGTGTATTTGTTTTTTTTTTTGTGAAGTAGTAAGATTGATTGCCTGCGTCGCGTTGCTTTGTTTTGTGTGAGTGGTTTGATTGACGTTGTTTTGTGTAATCTCTTTATATTTCCCTCTGCGTTGCTGTTGTTTCTTATTGTGTGTTAAATGTGCGTCTCTTTTCTACTTTTCCTCTTTTTTCCTTGTTACCACAGACCCAAGCAACCCACAGTGATAATCATGACAACGGTGTTCGTCCAACTGCGCCGTGTGGTGTACCTATTGGTGCTTCTGCTGTGCTGTGTGTGTGTGGCATATGCGGCGAGTCCAAGTGATGTTGTGCAGGATTCTTCAGCCATGAGGTCAACTGAAATAAGAAACGTTGATCAGGAGTTAGGCAACACGGTAGACAAGGCATATGAATACATTGTACTTGTGTCTGGTTGTCTCTCTTTGATGGAGGAGGAGATGAAGTTATGCAAGGAAAATTCCAAGCGTGCTGAAGTTGCCTCTACCAATATCACGAAACTTCTTGAGGAGTTCAAGGCATTGGGAAACGAAAAAGAAATGTGGATACAGGGAAAAAAGGATGGATTACAAGAAAACATATATGCTATTGGGAATTTGACAATATCACTCGTTGGCGTGAAATTCTTGGAACATGCATGTGGGAGAGCACTCGACGGCTTAAATGATAATGTGAAGGGATTTGCCGAAGCTCGAAAAAGCAAAAAAACAAACCAAACGCTAATTGAACTCGAAAAAAAACTCAACACTACACGAGATGGAATCAAGTCACTTTGGTATGACGGTAAACTCAGGAATGAAGCGAATAAGGCAGTGAAAAACCTCATGGATGATTTGGGAGATGTTTCGGGACTCCATGTTCCACAAGCCATCAATGATACCGAATTAAAAGAAGGGGAGGAATTTGGAGTAATAGGAAAGGAGAGAATAGATATCCTTGGGGGAAAACTGGAGAAAGTAAAAGCAAATGCGCCAGAAGAAATAAAGCGTCTGAAACGGGAGGAGCTGGTGGAAGAAGAGGAAGGGAATAAAACTGAAATGCAACCGTCAGGGGAAGTTGGAGTGACGTCGCAGAAGGCACACGAAGAAGCGAAAGAGAAAAGACGAGAAAAGAAGGAGGCTCTCGAGGAAGAAGAGAAAAGGAAAGAGGCTGATGAAGAGAAAATTGAAGAGTCTGGGAGGGGAAATTCCGGAGAGGAAGTAAACAAAGAAGTTCAGGGGGAAAATGTCAAGGAAATGGCGAAGGAAGAAGCGGAAAAGGCCATTAAGGCAATACAGGAGAGAGACAACAGCAGCAGTCCTGCATTGATGCACGGTCCATTATTGGTGCTTCTGTTGTGTGTGCTGGGTTGCACTCTCGTTTGCTGATCGGTGTTCCCATGACACAGTGGCACAGTTAACCCTTGTTTGAGTGGATATGGATGCATTGTAAGGGCACTGTTCTTTTCGGTTGGATTCTACTGTTTCTTTTTTTTTCAGTTCGATAAATCTCTTGTTTGTGTTTTTTTGCTGAACAATTATATTGGACTCCCTATGACACTCATCACATGACAAACCATCATTTTGTGAGGGGAGTGTCCTCTTTGTTAGATGGTATTATCTGGGCTCTGTTTTGCCGTCGTTCACTGTGTCCTCCTGGTGATGTGTGTGTGTTCCGTGATATTACTAACCGTTGTTTTTACCCATGGGAATGAGATACAATCCCGATGTGTTGTAATTGCCGTGACTGAAATGTGAAGAATGGCAGGAGGTTCAAGACACACAAACACGCACACTACCAACC